AAAAAAAAAAAAAAAAAAAAAAAGAATATTGGACAAAATCATCTTCTAAAAGGGTTGGGGGCAGGGGGAGGGCGATGATATTCCTGTGGAGAACACCAGAGTGGGGATAAGAATCCATGTTTTGAGAGGCAAGATATGGAAGGAGAGCAGAAAGAAGCCAGCGCTGGGTTGAGCTCTGGTGCTCCCAAGCCTTAGAGCCACCTGGTGGCAGAAATTAGAAGAAATAGAGGCATTCGAAGAGGCACAGAAACTCCTACACCATCAGCAAACCGTGTCTTGAGGAACCTCTACAGGGACCTTGTGACCCCAACTTCAAAAGAACAAATTTAAGTACTTGCTAAAGGGGCTCAGGGATGGTAAACCAGAGAGAGTGGGGATTAAATCAAAGTATATGGTACCAAAGAGAATTCCTGAGGGGGAAAAAAAAAAAAAAAAAAAAAACTACCGTAATAAAATAAAATGAAGAGCCTGGACTCTGGAGCCAGACTGCCTGTCTGGATTTGCATCTTGCCTCTGCCACTTATTATGAATCACTGGAGAATTTATTTATCCTCTGTGTCAGCGTCCTCACCTATAAAATGGGTGAAGCTAGCACCCCCGCATGGCATTGCATGAATTAAGAACGAAGAATGTTACTGTATATAAAGCATTCAAGGTGGTATTGGGCATGCTACAAAAGCTCAGCAAAGATTAGCTACTATCCTTACTGTTGTTACTTCTGCCGCTACAGGTGCTGAGACGCCTCCACGCAGCACTCTACAAAGAGAAACCGCTTCTGTAAATGATACTATTAACTGAATGCTGAAAGGATAATTTTTTTCCCCCTTTTTTTAGGCTGCGCCGTGCAGCATGCAGGATCTTAGCTCCCCAACCAGGGATGGACCCCGTGGCCCTGCAATGGAAGCGCAGAGCCTTAAACCACTGGACCACCAGGGAAGTCCTGGAAAGGATAATTTTTTATCATATGGCCTTAAAAAAAAGGCTGAAGTCTTCCTCTCATCCACCCCAACCGCTTTTTAATAAAGTTCATACCTGGGTTCCCATCCCCCCTTCCCACTCTCTATTTCTTGACTCTGCCAAGTCCCAATCTCTCTGAGGCTCAGTTACTCCGTTTATAAAATGGGAAAGCAGTAGCTTCTTTCCAGGGCTGCAGCAAAGGCGACCGAGGCCATCTACACCAAGCGTCCAGTACGCTCTCCGGCACGCGGTCAGCCCTCTGGTATTTTTCCACTTCTACTTGCCCCAAATAAAAGCGCCAGTACCAACCAGGGTGTGCGGGGAAGAGTAAAAATGAACATGAAGCCCTCTGGAAAATAGTAAGTGCTCAATGCATAAATATTTAATAAGGAGAGACTGTAACACTTAAGGAGGATGCACTCTCCCTGGTGCCACAGCCCGTCCCAGGGGCCGCGCCCGCCCAGCCTCAGCACCCCCCTTGCTCTCTGCGGCCCCCAGAGGGCCAGCCAAGTGCATTACCACGCACCTCTGAGGAGAGGCCAAGCACCCTGGTGCTCGTTGCCAAGGGTCCCCCGCCAGCCCCCGCTAGTTCTTGCTTTACAGTGAAATCACAAACAAACTGACTCAGTGTAAGCCACGGGAGACACGAAGACAGTCCTCAGAGCAGATCCTGGGTCCCCTAACTATTCTCCAGGGGGCAATAAAATGATGTAATGGAAAAGAGAGATACATGGACATCAGAACGACCTAGGATCCAGTCTTGCTCCAATCTGTTTTTCATTTGACAAGCTGGTTTGCCTCCATCAAGGCTCCTAAACACTGGGAGCCTGGGTTTCCTCATTAGCAAAATGGGCATAAAAGGATCTACATTATTTCATCGCTGGAAAAATTTTAAAAGAAAACAGAGGTACTAAGCACAAAGCCTGGCACCCAAGACGTATTTAATACATTTTTGCCCCTTTTCCCCTTTAGTAGCACCATGAATTGATCTGAATCCAAACAACTGGAACCTTCAGTGACCTAACTCCATTTTCTTCCCTGAGGCACTCCAGCCTTAGATTCTAAGTCATAAGACAAACAAGCAAATGCTAGGGATTTATTCAAAAAGGCAAGGCTAGGCAAGGTCCTGGGGTCAGCACTTCTACCTTCTGCAGCTGGAACCACGTGACGGGCACCAAGGAGGCTCACAGCCCGACCCTGAGGCCAGAGGAGACCACAACGGGTGCAATTACTCAGCGAGGCAGGCAGGCGAGTCCCTCGGCACTTTCCACAACAAGGGTTCACACGAAATGGGGTCCTCCGCTTAACCTTCCATTAACCTGAAAATCCACTTCAGCAGAACAGCCTCTTCCCTGGCATCTCGTTGTCCAAGTTTAGGCTCTAATTGGCCAAGGAACTGTCCCATCATTTATACAGTTCACTTGTTCCAAACTGGTTCGATACAGACTCCGTTATGGGGTTAGAAGAGGCGAAGGATAAGCCCAGACATTGCCATTTCGTAACCCTGCACTGCTGAAAATAACAAGCACTGTGACCATCTGCAGTGGTGGAGCAGACCGGGTTGGCCACACACCATGGCTGTGAGCAGGCAGAATAATCCTTTTTGCAAGGTGTTCAAACCATCTTTGCCAAGTGGGTGGGGCAGAAAGTCAGAAAGAAGTCTTTGCAAAGTCACCTCCTATCCAGCTCCCACCCTTCGTTGCACGCATGCCTGTGCTCTGCTGCTTGGGGCCAGGCAATGGAGGGAAGCAGGAGCCAGGGCCAGGGCCCACCCTCCACCTGCTTCCACCCTAACCAGAGACAGGTACAGACACGGAGGAAACGATAGAGCAGCACCAACTTACCCTCTCCCCTGCGTTAAGGGAAGGGCCTGATGAAGGTGGGTGTTTGCAGAATGCCCCCTGACTAAGGCTCCCCGAATGAGAATGAGTGCATCCTTATCCCCTGCTGCGAGACAGACTCCGCCTGCCTGCTCTCATGCGCTCAAATCCAGGGCAGGGGACAGTGTTTGGGTCAGGGAAAGTGTCGAGGAAGGAAGGACAAGGATTCGAACCTTGGTTCCATGCACCAGCTAGGCAACCCTGGGCTGATCACTTAATCTTTCCTGAGGCTGTTGTGAAATTCTCATAAAATAACCAACCCTAAGCACCTAATAGCACAAAGCAAATACTCAGTAAGTACCTGTTATTTTCCCGTTTGCCTCTGAGGTTCCTTGTCTGCAAATGGGGGGGGGGACAGTGGTACCTTGTTCACATCACTGTCGCAAGGATTATAGGAGACGACATTAAGAGACGGAGCTTTCTGCAAAACAGTCTAGTTGGCCTGCACACTTCACAAATATCAATGTCTTCACACACATGCGCACGCGTGTGCGTGCGGCTGGGGAACTACTGTAGATTAAAGGAGTCTAAAGAGACATGACAGGGACTTCCCTGGTGGCGCAGTGGATAAGGCTCCATGCTCCCAATGCCGGGGGCCCAGGTTCGAGCCCTGGTCAGGGAACTAGATCCCACATGCATGCCGCAACTAAGAGTTTGCACGCTGCAAATAAGGAGCCGGTGAGCTGCAACTAAGGAGCCCGGGAGCCGTAACTAAGACCCAGTGCAACCAAATTAATTTTTAAAAAAAGAAAAGAAACTGCCAAATTATTAAAAATAAATAAATAAATAAAAATTTAACAAATTTTAAAAATTAAAGAAAAATAAAGAGACATGACGACTAAATACAATGTGTGACCCCTGACCAGATCCTAGAAGTAAAAAACACTATAAGGGGCGTTTTCGGGACAACTGTGGAAATCCTGGTATTGTCCTATAATCACGTCAAATTCCCAGAGTCTGATTACACTGTTGTGGTCGGGTGGGACAAACTCCTGATCTTCAGAGATACACACTGAAGTATTTAGAAGGAAGTATCCTGATGTTGGCAACCTACCCTCAAATGGTTCAAAAACAACAAAAAATTACACACGGAGGGAGAAACAAACGTGGTAAGACGTTAACAACTGGTCATCACGAAAAGGGAATACGAGTCTTGCAACCTCCTACACATCTGAAATTTCTCAAACTAGAAAGTTGGGAAATAAGAGCAGCCGGGCCGAGGGCTCAGCGCACGACACTTCCTGCCTCTCTGTGGCTCTCTTCAGCCGGAGCAGGCGTGGGGGACCCCGGGACCCTCACCTGGCTGCAGCACCCTGATCTCCAGCAGGTTGGAGGTCCTCTCGGCCAGCCGCGTCCAGCTGTTGTTGTAGTTCCTCCGCCACAGCTCTGCCACACACTGGTACTTGCCCGCCTCCGTGTCGCTGGCCCGGCTGATGCTCAGCCGGACGTTGTTGCTGGACTCAGCCTTTTCAATGGCCGTTCGGGTACGGAAGCTGGAGGACCTGTCTCCCCACTGGACTCCTCCATCCCGGGTAAAGGTCACCAGGTCATGGAACTCGGCAGTGCCCACCGGCTGGAACCGCCACGTCACTGACACAGGGACCCGGGCGGGGTAATGGGGTTTGATGATGCACTGCAGGTCAAAGGAGTCACTGTAGGTCACCCCCGGCGTGCGGGAGATGGCAGTGACTGCAAAGCCCGTTTCTGGAGAGAGAGCAGAGAAACTCAGGCCAGAGGAGACACTTGGCTTTCTCAGGGCCATGTGACGCGGTGACAGGGCTCCTGGCAAAAGCTAGTGGGACAGAGCAAAGGCTCACACATGGGGCTCTCTGGATGCCCAGGCCAGTATTACTTTTGCTAGCATGTTGACACACAAACCCAGCAGTTCACAGGACCCCACAGAAAGAGGCCAGTGGCAATCCTCCTCAAGCAGCACTAGCGAACCCTTCCCGATGAACCCTCACGTGGATTTGTGCTGGATCAGTCCCACTCACAGGGACTGAGTGCATGTAGGCGGGGCCATCCCGAGATATCTTGGGATTCCGCGCCGAAACAGGAGAAAAGAGCCCCAGGGCTGATTTCCTTCATCACACTCAGGTGGATGCACCCTGCCCCAGCCCGGACAGCCCCTGTGCCTGGCCCGCCGCTGCGTCAGTGCCAGAGCAGGGGAGGCAGGTGGAGCAGGTGCCTGTGCTCCCGGGCTGGGCAGCGCCGGCTTGCTCTACAGTCCCTCTTCTACCTCCCCACAGAATGCAGGGCAAAGAGGCAGCGAGGGACCCACAGCAGGAGGGACTGACCTTCACCAAGTAGGACCTGGGGTGAGGTGGGGCCCTGCAGGTACACTAGGCTGAGTCTCTCCGTATTCCAGCATCACTAATCCCCAATACTGACTCCTCAGTAGAAGTGATCAGAGTCCCTTCAACCCTGAAATACGACTGACTGTTAACACATTCGTTATGCTCATAAAACTGAGAGCAGCCAGTATTTCCTGAGCACTATGGGCCAGGCATGGTGCCAACTGCTTGGCTTTCATCACACTTCACTGAATCCATCACCCCTTTCTTACAGATGAGGAAACTGAGGCCCAGAGAAGGGTAGATAAATTGTCCACTATCAAGCTGCCAGTAAATGGCAGTCACACTACAAATCTGTGTGCCACTGATTCCGGGGGACTTATTAGGTTGCTTTACTCCCAGGAAGCATAAGACAGTGGTTAAAGGCACAGACCCTGGAGCCAGATGCCCAACTTTGGCACTGTCTAGCTATGTGACGTTGAGCAAGTTACTTAACTTCTCTCTGCCTCTATTTCCCCATCTGTAAAATGGGTCCTTGTGAAGATTAAATGAGTTAGTATTTATAAAATACTTGCAATAGTACCTGACACACAGTATATACTATATTTTATTAAATATGTGGTTGTTTAAAAAAAATAGACGTAAAGGAAAGTACTTTAAACTTCATAGGTAAAAAGGCACCGAATGAATCTTTCGGCAGAGCCTGGCCAGAGCCCCTTGGTAAGCTCTGGCTATGGGAACCACAGACATATGGTGAATATGAAAAAACTCAGAGGACAACCTAATGCTGTAAAATTACTTCTAACCCTAACCACCCCTCAGACATTCCTAGCCTCACAGGATGGGAAAGACTCCCTCTGCTGGACACCCAGGACTTTCCTCACAGGTTCCATTTCCACGTGTCCACATACGGTACTGAGCAGAGAGAGACATGGGGAGTGAGCTGACCTGGAAACTCAACCACTGGATGAGGTTTCCAGAGACAGAAATCTGAATGGGATGATGAGTGCAGAAAGCAGATCAACCTTTGGGATTAAGCTTATGGAAAGTAAAAATAATTCTAATCTGGGGTGAAAAAGGACTTTGTTGGGGGCAAAACCACTTGGTGTTGCCATCTTTACTGGGGTAAGATGGTCCAAAGCGCCACCAGCCCTACCTATGAGGAAGGTGGCAGCATGGTCCCAGGGGTGGGATGCAAAGTCACTGAGGGCAACTGATGTCACAGTCTCTTAACAAACAGAAACACCTAACATGACAAGTTACCTCCCCAGCAAAGTAGCAGATTGGTCTTTTAATATACTGATTCTATTAGGCAGATAAATGTTGATAGAAGCCTCTTTACCCTGTGAGAAGCAAATCTAATATTCTTTGGTTTTAGCAAATTTCAAGGTATCTTTTAATTTCATGCTAATCAGGAAATGGCTTTCTTTAGGAAGAGCCTTATAGAGGGAAAGGTAAAAACACAGGCTTTGAAAAAACAATTTAAGACAGATTACTGGTTTCCTGGATTCAGATTGTGTGTCTGTCACTTAAAAGCTATAGTCCTGGGCAAATTAGCCAACTTGTCTCACTAGTCTCCTTGTAAAATGACAGTGTCTGTCTGTAGGCTAGGTGAGGATTCCAAGGGACAATTAAGCTTAAGAGCTTACACTCAGCCAGGAAGGGTAGTAAGGGCTAAATAAATGGCAAAAGGTGATTTTCTACCCTTCTCTGCCCTGCTCTGAATTTTCAGGAGGGCTGAGCCCCTGGACAGGAGGGCCTGGGGTGCAGGAGGGAGAGGATTTGTTCCCGCTCTTGCAGGTTAATT